TATACAAGATTTGGGGAATGACTGATAAACCCCATCTGGGAATGACTGTAAACCTATGTAAAACCCCAAAATTGCGCTAGGTTAGGTTAGGAAAAATTGGAAAAAATTCTGATTTTTTTCAAAATTTTCGCCAATTTTGCCGATTTTTGCCCAATTTCTTTTTGACAAATTAGAGCTGGGGTATTTTGTTTTCTATAGAAAATATATAAAAAAATCTAAAAAAATTGGTTGTCCGATGCTGACCGCCAAAAATGGATTACAGATTCTTAATGTACACCCCAAAAAAACATATATATAATTGAAAAAAACTTTTTCTTTGGATGCACTTAATCTAAAGTTTTACCACAGCCTCTTTGACATGTTTGAACTAGCAGGGTGGTCCAATGGTTAAAGTTCAGGGTAGGCTACCAAGATTGGCGCAGAGAGGTGAGGGTTTGATCCCAGCTCTGTGCGCCAGTTTCTGGTCAGAATTTGCAAGGAGGCCGGGTGGTTAAGCAAAGCAGAATTATAGCAGTGAGTTGCTAGTTCAAGAGTTGCTAGTTCAAAATGCTGTTGATGTTCTGTGATGTTAAGAATCGGCGACAGGCCTTCGGAGTACGGCCTACTAAATGCTGAAACTACTATTGCAGTCAAGAACTGAATAGAATGATCACTAGATAAAGCTATTGATAAATATATGTTCAGACTTGAAGTGAATAGCAGTAGCACCAAACAAACCTGCTAGAAGTCTCAAGTCTAGTACGGTAGGTATTTCTCAAATTCAAACGAATGTCAGTTTTGAAAAGTTACAGTCAAAGGACAGGTTTTTAGATCTCCTGTGAAGTTGTGAACAAGTCTGAAAAGTACAAAAATTGGTGACTGAAGGCCACACCAGGCCTATTCTTCAGTGCTGACATAAATTGCTATTTGCTATAATGCTTTTCATTATACACAAATCACTTTTGTTTCATTAAAGTCAAGTGAATGAAATAAAATTTTAAGGCACATCTCTGAGTGTTATTTACAATGCTTTAGTGCAGGGTTGGCAATGATTGAATCATGTGATTAAATCACTAGATTTTTTTATAAAAAATCATGATTTTTTTTATTTTTTCAATTTTTTTTATTTTTTTTTTATTTTTTCATATATTTAAAAATATTGAGTGGCAGTCTTTAATTTATATTGAGGTATTGTTATTCATGGTTTAGTATAAATGTACTATGAATGACAAATTGGTATATAAACTTGTTGCCTTTAGTGTGTAGGTATTAGGTTCCAATAAATGGAATGTTTTTGGTACAGAGGCATCAAGAGTGCAAAACATTGTACGTAGCTAGCAGCTTAGCTAATTCTTATAAGGCTATAAGTAGTCTTAACTATTTGACTATTTGTTATATATTGATTACAATATAGGTACAATTTAAATGTGTTAGCTAGCTGGTGGGGCAGAACTGATTGAACAGTTTTGGGGCAAAATAAAAGAGTAATGGAGGTACATAAGGAAGAAAGTTTATTTTCCTCAAGATTAGCATAACATACCATTTAAAATACTTATGTTTTGAAAACAATATCAGGAAAATGGGGTTTGTTAGCTGCAACACACTGTTGGAGTCGTTCTCGGAAGTTTCCTACAGCACAAATAGACTTATCAATAATTGTTTACCCGAAAATCCCTAAGTGGTAAACACCACCTTGGCCTGTTGGCCATTATTGGAGGCAATAAGTGCCCTTTTTAGCCATCCATTATGATCCATATACTGTTATTGTTAGTTGGCTAACTGCAACATAAAAAATAACACCTCAAAAAAGACAAAAAAGGTGAAAAAATCAAAAAAATTAAATAAATAAAAAAAATCATGAAAAAATAAAAAAAATCATTGATTTTTTATTTTTTTGATTTTTTTAAAAAAATCAGAAAAATCGCCAACCCTGCTTTAGTGTAGGATTTCATTATTAAAATAACCTATAAATGGAGTTAGTAATCAGTCACCCATTGTCAGCCTAAATGGAAAATTTGGCAGAAGCCATCCAGGAATTAGACAAAAAAACCTGTGAATCTGGCTAATTTTTATTCATTCCAACAAATTTGGAATATTGAGTAAAAATTTTCTATAATCACAAGTAATTTCAGAGCTAATCATCTTAAATCTTGTCTGAAAAAAGACTTTTCCTCTTTTTGTATTTTTTGTATTAAATTTTTATTTTATATAGGTATATAATTATATTATTTTTTATATTTAAGTAATATAGGTATTTTTTGTTATTTTTTGCTCTCTTGTTTATATAAATTGTCAAAATGGCCATAGGAACTGGAGAAATTGATCAGATTCATGGGTGTTTGTACGTAATTCATGGGTGGCTGGCTCAATTTCATTACCTATGGTATATGACTGGCTTATGCTTAATTTCACACTTACGCTTTCCATTAGCATTTTCCAAAAATTTTCAGTGAAAAATAAAAAAATGGCCTATTTAATCTTACAATTTAAAAATCACCTGTGAAACAATTGTTTTTACCTGCAAATATAGGAAACTTCTGCCCAATATTCAAAAGAGGAAGGCCATTGGGTAGTGGACTACTATCAACCATCAATGACACAGGTCACTAAACACTGGCACATGGCACCAACAGCAGCTGCATTGAGATATCAATAAAAAATATAACTCAGTAGTCAGTACTCACTGCAGTGAGTGACAGAGAGTGCATTTTCTCGTCAACAAAAACTTGAGGTCATGGACAGACGGACGGACAGACAGACAGACAGACGGACGGGTGGACATGGCAAGCACAATAGTGCATTTTTTCCATAAATGAGAAAATGCACTAAAAACATATAATACTGGTCCAAATTAGGATTTTAGGGTTTGATTTCTCAGGTGCAATCCTAGGAAAATGTGTTATCAAGATTAGTAGTACTTGTATATATATGCCATTTATAATTTTAATGCCCAAAGCTTTTCCAGCAGTACGGTATTCAGGATGCATGTCAAGCAGTATTCAGTTGACACTGCCTGCATATCCTGCTTGTATTGATTTTTTATCTTCATCACCTGTAGAGATTGTAATGCCCATACATCTGTGCCAATCATGATGTATTGGCCATATTGATGGTAACACGCATATGTCTGTTCCGCTATATGTGCTCAAGTTGCCGGTGCCGATCATTGCATATTGACCATATTGCTTGTACATCTGTGTTGAGCATCTTGCATTGAGCTATACCGGTATCAATTGTAATGCACATAATATTTGCAAGGTAAAAGTGTCAGCCAGATCTTCTGAAGATGTAAATTTTGCTATCAATGTATTGCCAAAGATATTTAGATAGTTACTCACTTTCTGCACCCTGACTTGATTACCATGCAATAACTAAGCTTGTTTGTTTGCACTAGAAAGTTAGTCATGACTCACTTCTTTCCCAACCAAGGTGCGGAAAGTGAGCAAACATCTAGAGATCTTTGACGATACATTAACAGAAAAATTTATATATTCAGATCTTGCTTATTATGCACATTGCATTTGATACAAACAATGGGCAACAAATGGCACTGACGCACATGCATTGCAATTGATGGGTCAATATATGATGATCAGTGCAGACTTAACTGCATTACAATCATCACAGGTGATGGATACTAGCAATTAAAACAACCTGGAGAGACATGTGGTGATGGCATTGCACATGACGATGGCTGGATGCGGCTGGCAATGCAGCGATGCATCCTGAATACTGCAGGTAACATTTTTGGCTGAAAAACCATGTCAATGCATTTGCCAAAGTCTACACCCTGGGTTCACAAAATAGATTGTTTCATTTGAAGGCCAGCAACATAAATGCTGTTGCAGTGTTAGTTGCTTGGTGGATAGCTGGCATGAAATTTATCTGCTTTTTGAGGCAATACTAGAGCTTTCCTGCCATTTTTTGAAACTGCAAGATTCCTGTTAGATGAATTACTTTCTATCTAATTGGGATAATAAAAGTGCCAGATCAGACTGCAAGTCACATGTAGGCTGCAAATTTGTCACTTTAGAACCACAAGATTTTAGTAGTAAGCATGAAAATTCCAATCCCGGTGGGTAGCATTGATGGTTGGTAGGTAGCATTGATGGTTGGTCCAATCCACGGTGGGTAGCACTATTCCAATCAACTCCAGCTCTAAAATTAAATATTCCGACTTAATTACAAAGCTAAATTGTATACTTCTATTAGCATTTAGACCATTGGCTGGAGCTGATCTGGAATATATATTCATAATTTTTACAAAAACTGTTAAAACAATCATTTTCTAAGTGAATTGTTAATCACTAACAAAACTAGGCCATTTTCTTTAAATTTCAGTTGGTATTTATCTGGTTTTGATACTGAAGTGAAGATTGAAGCCTAATTTGTTCCAAAAAATAAACCCTGGGTTCACAAAATAGATTGTTTCATTTGAAGGCCAGCAACATGAATGCAGTGGCGGTGTTAGTTGCTTGGTGGGTAGCTGGCATGAAATATAGGTAGGTATATGCTTTTTGAGCCGATACTAGAGCTTTCCTGCCATTTTTTGAAACTGCAAGATTCCTGTTAGATGAATTACTTCCTATCTAATTGGGATAATAAAAGTGCCAGATCAGACTGCAAGTCACATGTAGGCTGCAAATTTATTGCTTTGGAGCCACAAGATTTTAGTAGTAAGCACGAAAATTCCAATCTCGGTGGGTAGCATTGACAGTATAAAAGTTGGCAAGTCTAACTATTCCAATCAATTCCAGCTCTAAAATTAAATATTCCAACTTAATTGCAAGGCTAAGTTGTGTACTTTTCTTAGCATTTAGACCATTAGCTGGAGCTGATCTGGAATATATATTCATAATTTTTACAAAATCTGTTAAAACAATCATTTTCTAAGTGAATTGTTAATCACTGAAAAAACTAGGCCATTTTCTTTAAATTTCAGTTGATATTTATCTGGTTTTGATACTGAAGTGAAGATTGAAGCCTAATTTGTTCCAAAAAATAAATTTCACAAAAAAATACATCCTAACTCTGGGATTCAAATAGAGTTAATTTATCCACTTGAGTGGATATCAAAATTCAAAAATGTAGGAGAACCCACTTGTGATTGAGCAGAAATCACCTATGCTATTATGTAGAAAATATACCTATTTATTACTTGTCTGCCATTTATGAGCCTTGAAAATGAGATACCCAGATACCCACTACATTAATAAATTATTTTCTATCCTATTTAATTTTAAATAAATCTGAAATATTTAGCTATAAATAAAACTTACCTAAGTTCTTGCCCCTGCCTATTGACAATTTTACCTATGCCTGTGGTTACAGGTGAAGTCAATGGTGAAATTTCTTTAGCAATTTTTAAGGAGAATTTTTAAGAAGAATTTTTAAATTGGTCAGGCCCTTCTTGTGCAAATACTGAATGCAAAACCTCCAGACCAAGCAACCAATTCTTGTGTGAAGCTTTAATGCAAATATAATGTTATACAAATTGTTCAATGTGATGAAATCAGTGAAACTCTATTGCTAAGAGCATAGATATACAATCTTTGGTTTAAAAACCCTTTTCCTATCACAAGTATATATGTATTTGATCTCTTAATATCTTTCAATGGTAATATGAGCTCAGAAACATTTGAATAAAATATTATGCCAAAGTTGTGGGCTAGTTGATGTTTGCAATGACCAATCTTAGGAATTAAATATACTTGCTCAGGATCTGTGTTCATGAATTGTGCACATGATAATGCTATTATTCTTCCATTGACAGGTGCTGTTAATGGGCAAGAATGGGTCCGGCAAGACCAGCATGCGCTCCATCATATTTGCCAACTATATTGCTCGGGACACTCGAAGACTGGGAGCCACAAGTGGGTTGCTGGCTTAAATTAGTTTTGCTTACATTTAAAAATTGTTGAAGTTGTGCTAGATTGATACAAAATTTATGCATTTCATTCAATTTATGTATTTCTTAGCTTATCCATGGTAAACTTGTATATAGGCACTGCAATGAATGCATTTAATGATTTTTCTTAATTTTTCTTCTGTTAACCCTTTAGCGGGCAAGCATTGAAATATCCAGAAATTAAAATTTCAGAAACCATTTCAAGAAAGCAAGAAGTATTATACAATATATGTATTTCTATGAATTTTTGCAAATTTTGCCTATTGAAGGTTTAAATCGCACTAGAAGAATTCAATAAATGCGATCAGTACCTACACAAAATTTTTCTTTATAATTAAAATTCAGTTTATGCAAATGAAAAATTAGAAACATAAAAATTTAATTTAATTAAATTTAATCAAGTTGCCATGCTCAGGATCTGTGTTCATGAATTGTGCAAATGATACGGTACGGTACATGTTATTATTCTTTCATTAACAGGTGCTGTTAATGGGCAAGAATGGGTCTGGCAAGACCAGCATGCGCTCCATCATATTTGCCAACTATATTGCTCGGGACACTCGCAGACTGGGAGCCACAAGTGGGTTGCTTGCTTAACTTAGTTTTGCTTACCTTTAAAAATTGTTGAAGTTGTGCTAGATTGATACAAAATTTATGCATTTCATTTAATTTATGTATTTCTTAGCTTATCAATGGTAAACTTGTATATAGGCGCTGCAATGAATGCATTTAATGATTTTTCTTAATTTTTCTTCTGTTAAATGTGCATACACTGTGGTGAAAGCATTTCATGATTTGTCTTTATTTTTGTTGATAAAAGTGTTGGGCTTCCTTGCCATGTCATGATATTAAATGTATACCTAATTCACTCTTATATGGATCTTGTTCCACTTCTCCATTTCTATGAGCAGCATTTAATCATGTTTTATTTATTTTTTATTCCTTAATTTTTTTATTTATTTTTGATCATCAGATTATTTTATATTTTTGTTACAGTTGATGTGGAGCACTCTCATGTTCGCTTCCTGGGGAACCTTGTACTCAATCTCTGGGATTGTGGAGGGTGTGTGCAAGTATTTTAATTAACTTAATATTGATATATTGTTAATGTTGCTTCTGAATATATGCTGAATGATTAAATTATTGCATTGATGGCTCAAATTTTCATGTTTTTTGAAATTTTGTGATAATTTATAACATGATGCATACCTACCAACAATATTTTTTTATTTATACATATATGTGCTTCAATAAATGTAAATGTTTATTACAGCAATATAATTAAGAAAGATTCTGTACCAGTATTATTTAAAAAATTAGTTATTTTGATGCTGATTCAAGCTTTTTTGCCTCACAGGCAAGATGCATTCATGGAGAACTACTTTGCTTCACAGAGGGACAACATTTTCCGCAATGTTGAAGTCCTGATCTACGTCTTTGATGTTGAGAGCGATGAGCTTGGTATGGATTGTTTGATCTTGGCACAATATAGAGATTTTATAATTATTGGCCTTATCTTTAAATTGTTGAACCATGTTAAATTCTATAATATTGTATCACTCATATGTGTATCAAATTTGTTGTCAAACATCTAAAGGTGATATTGGAAAAAGAATGAGTGCACATCTGCAAATCAACATTACTGTATATGATAATTGACATGTGATAATTCATTGAACTTTATTCTTTCAATGGACTACATCTTTCTAAACAGTTATATTTCTGTCCCAACCTTTTGTGTTGATTGTATATTGCACCTTTTTGGACTGGATATTTCGTCAATTATAGCAAATATTTGGTAAGGTTTAATAAGTGTGTATGTTTATTGACTTCAAACTTGCTGTCAATAATAGTAAAACTCTGTATGCTTTACTTTATATTGTACGAATATTGCAGAGAAAGACATGCACTACTACCAGAGTTGCCTGGAGGCCATTCTTCAGAACTCTCCTGAAGCTCGCATCTTCTGCCTTATACATAAGATGGACCTGGTCCCTGAGAACCAGCGTGAAGTGTGTACCTCATTAGAACCAGCGTGACGCGGTGTGTACCTCATTAGCACCAGCGTGACGTGGTGTGTACCTCATTAGAACCAGCGTGACCCGGTGTGTACCTCATTAGAACCAGCGTGACGTGGTGTGTACCTCATTAGAACCAGCGTGAGTCGTGACGCGGTGTGTACCTCATTAGCACCAGCGTGACGCGGTGCCTGAGAACCTGAATGATAATCATTAGAACCTCTGAACTACGAGCAATCAATATATAGTTTACTTCATAAACACACGAGTAATTTAAAATTTCTGTAATTCGATGAGCTTTATCCAAGGTGGCTATTATTTTTGGCATTTTTTTGCTAGAATGTTCATGAATTATTTATTTATTAAGTTACTTGGTTAAGATGAGGTTCATCACTTTCTTCAATATTGGCAGTTGAGGGTGGGTGCAAGTAAATTTTATTATTAAGTAGAATATTCATGAATTTATTAAGTACAACTAATATCCCTTGCAGATGTTCCACGACAGAGAAGAGGATCTCAAGAGACTGTCCAAGCCTCTGAACTGCATATGTTTTCGCACCTCCATATGGGATGAAACTCTGTATAAGGTGGGTTGTATATGTTCCATATGGGATGAAACTCTGTATAAGGTGGGTTGCATGTGTTCCATATGGGATGAAACTCTGTATAAGGTGCGTTGTATATGTTCCATATGGGATGAAACTCTGTATAAGGTGCGTTGCATGTGTTCCATATGGGATGAAACTCTGTATAAGGTGCGTTACATGTGTTCCATATGGGATGAAACTCTGTATAAGGGCCGTTACATATGTTTCTATACCTTCATCTTGGAAGCATTCCCCGCCCTTCCAAGGCATGTTTTATCCCTCAAACTCCTCCTTTATACCTAAAAATTGTACCCTCTTACTGCAGGCTTGGTAATAGTAAATACCTTTAATCCCGGCGTCACACCCGATTAGCGCTTCCCTTCCTTTTTTATTTTTGAATCCCTCTACCCTACCCGTAAATCCCGCCCCCGCCCTACCCGCGGACGGGTTTACCTTCTGAAATTCTTACCTTCTGAATTCTTACCTTACATTACCTTACCTTCTTACCTTACCTTCTTACCTTACCTACTTACCTTACCTTCTTACCTTACCTTACCTTCTTACCTTACCTTACCTTACCTTACCTTACCTTACCTTCTTACCTTACCTTACCTTCTTACCTTACCTTACCTTCTTACCTTACCTTACCTTCTTACCTTACCTTACNTTACCTTCTTACCTAATTCTTACCTTCCCTAATTCCTGGACCCCACAGGCGTGGTCCAGCATCGTGTACGAACTCATCCCCAACGTGCGGGAGTTGGAGGCGAACCTTAAGACCTTCGCGGACATCATCGACGCTGACGAAGTGCTGCTCTTCGAACGCGCCACCTTCCTCATAATCTCTCACTACCACCTCAGACCTCACAAGGACCTCAACAGATTTGAGCGCGTCTCTAATATCATCAAACAGTTCAAGCTCTCGTGCAGGTAAAGTATACAGTACCATATAAACATTTTATTATTGATCATATATATTTATTCATGGTATTAGGNTTTGACGTTTCTGTTTGACGTTTGAGAAAAAGCCAGAAAATTTAGTGTCGATATACATAATTAGTGGCGTTAGAACTTGGATATTAATGCTCTACTTGAGGGATATTAATGCTCTACTTGAGTTTTCTTCCAATTGCGGACAATGGAAGCCGTCGTTAGTTTGAGAATTTTTATTAACTGATAATGAATGGTACACTAGCGTCACTAGCTGCGACGATATGATGATGCTTGCTACGATGATTATATTCCTAAAAATATTTGCAAATATCATTGTATTAGTGAGCTTAATAGTAATTATTCTAGTGATAATGCCTGATGTTTCGAAAGCCATAACAAATGCTATAACGAATACAACGCAATACTATAACGAATATAACAAAATGCTATAACGAATATAACGAAATGCTCTAACAAATAGAACGTAATACTATAACAAATAGAACGTAAAACTATAACGAATATAACGAAATACGATAACGAATAGAACGTAATGCCATAACAAATGCTATAACGAACATAACGAAATGCTATATTTCTACTTGACAGCAAACTAGCGGCGCAGTTCAAGAGCATGGAGATCAAGAACAGCAACTTCGTCGCCTACATCGAGGTCTTCACTGCCAACACCTACGTCATGGTGGTCATGTCTGACACGTCTATACGTGAGTCATGTCTGACACGTCTATACGTGAGTCATGTCTGACACGTCTATACGTGAGTCATGTCTGACACGTGAGTCATGTCTGACACGTCTATACTTGAGTCATGTCTGACACGTCTATACGTGAGTCATGTCTGACACGTCTATACGTGAGTCATGTCTGACACGTCTATGCGTGAGTCATGTCTGACACGTCTATACGTCTGACACGTCTATACGTGAGTCATGTCTGACACGTCTATACGTGAGTCATGTCTGACACGTCTATACGTGAGTCATGTCTGACACGTCTATACGTGAGTCATGTCTGACACGTATATGTATAAGTTATTGTGTGTTGTACATGTATATATTCACTGTGTGCCGTGTGTCAAGGTGCCATACAAGCCATAAGAAATAGCCACGCTCTATGAACATAGGGTACAAAATCTTGATCATTTAATTATGAATTCATTCACTAGTACTGACTTCATCATTTCAATTTCACTAGTTAGAATTCCTTTGAATAGAGGAGAATTCCGTTCATTTCAATTAGGTAGAATCTGTTTGTTAATTAGCGAAAAATGTTATTTGTTTATTATTGCTGAATGTTGTCAAAATGCATGCAATGTTTGTTTATCTTGCTGCAATTCATACAACGTTTGTTAATGTTGCTGCAATTCATACAACGTTTATTAATCTTGCTGCAATTCATACAACATTTCTTAATGTTGTCGCTATTCATGCAACGTTTGTTAATGTTGTCACAATTAATGGAATGTTAGTTAATGTTGTCACAATTAATGGAATGTTAGTTAATGTTGTCCCCTCCCCCAGCCTCGGCGGCGACGCTGCTCAACATCCGCAACGCCCGCAAGCACTTCGAGCTCCTCGAGCGCGACGCCGGCACCGCCGCCTTCGGGGGCGCCGAGCCCCTGGGGTTCCCTTGAACCCCTTGGCTTTCCTTGAGCCCCTGGGGTTCCCATGAACCCCTTGGCTTTCCTAGAGCCCCTGGGGTTCCCTTGAACCCCTTGGGTTCCCTTGAGCCCCTGGGGTTCCCTTGAACCCCTTGGGTTCCCTTGAGCCCCTTGGCTTTCCTTGAGCCCCTGGGGTTCCCTTGAGCCCCTGGGGTTCCCTTGAGCCCCTGGGATTCCATTGAACCCCTCGGCTTTCCTTGAACCCCTTGGCTTTCCTTGAACCCCTTGGCTTCCCTTGAACCCCTTGGGTTCCCTTGAGCCCCTTGGCTTTCCTTGAGCCCCTGGGGTTCCCTTGAGTCCCTGGGATTCCATTGAACCCCTCGGCTTTCCTTGAACCCCTTGGCTTTCCTTGAACCCCTTGGCTTTCCTTGAACCCCTGGGATTCCCTTGAACCCCTTGGCTTTCCTTGAACCCCTTGGCTTTCCTTGAGCCCCTGGGATTCCCTTGAACCCCTTGGTTTTCCTTGAACCCCTTGGCTTTCAATCAGCTGTGAGAGAAGGTGCCAGAAAGCGCAATGGATTCAATTTAGTCATTTTTTATTTGAAATCGGTCTCAGTTCTTTGGACTAGGAGCGTAAATTACAGTGTAAAACCTATTAAAAGTTTATGTTTCTGCGTGAATTTTGATGCTGTTAGCATTGAAATACTTGAAAGTATCTCTGTTTCTCTGATGCAAGAAATACTGGCTAAATACATTTTAATTTAGAAATTAACATCAATCGAAATTACTGTTGTTCAGGCTTCAGGGCTATGTTGGTTCTTGCGAACCGATTGTTGCATCCATGATCCAGTTGCTTATATTGAAAATAGAATTATTTAAGCAAGTATTTCTTGCATCAGAGATAATTCAAAGTTTGTTAATGTTAACAGCATTATAATCCATGCAGAAACGTACATTTTTTACATAGATATTAAAAATTTAGGCTCTATGACTTGTATACAACTATGCGTATAGGATTTCAAATCGATGCATGCATTCAAATTCAAATAAGGCCCACCCACAGCCAGTGTAGCTGTCAGCTGCTCAGCTCACCTCTCTTCAGAAGTGTGAAAGCTTTTGCCGGTGAAAGTGTGTTTTACGATCGCTCCGTAAAGAAGCGTTGATCGGTTCAAAATGACATAAGACCAGTTTCTTTTGAATAACCTTTAGAATTGCACCATGATGCCCAAGGCTCTAATTCGTAAAAAAAAAGCGGAGCAAAAATTGGCAAAATCGGCAAAAATTTGGAAAAAATCAGGAAATTTTTTTTGACCGGAAATGATCAATACAAGATTTGGGGAATGACTGATAAATCCCATCTGGGAATGACTGTAAACCTATGTAAAACCCAAAAATCGCGCTAGGTTAGGTTAGGAAAAATTGGAAAAAATTCTTATTTCTTCCAATTTTTTGCCGATTTTGCCAATTTTTGCCTGATTTTTTTTTGACAAATTAGAGCTGGGGTATTTTGTTTTCTATAGAAAATATATAAAAAATCTGAAAAAATCTGTTGTCCGATGCTGACCGCCAAAAACTGATTTCAGATTCTTAATGTACACCCCAAAAAATATAATTAAAAAAAACACCTTTTTTTTGATGCACTTAATCTGGAGTTTTACCACAGCCTCTTTGACATGTTTGACCAAGCAGGGTGGTCCAATGGGCAATGGTTAAAGTTCAGAGTAGGCTACCAAGATTGGCGCAGAGAGGTAAGATTATAAATAATCCAGACCCTGCCCCAGGGATCATAGATTATAATTAATCCAGACCCTGCCCCAGGGATCATAGATTATAAATAATCCAGACCCTGCCCCAGGGATCGTTGATTATAATTAATCCAGACCCTGCCTCAGGGATCGCAGATTATAGTTAATCCAGACCCTGCCCCAGAGACAGATTATAATTAATCCAGACCCTGCCCCAGGGATCGTAGATTACAATT